TTTACATTTTTTTCCCCCCCAATTTAAGTTTTGACTCATGTTTGTAGAGACAGTATTTCCCAATAGGTGGTATGGACTGTGCTGTTCCCTCCACTTTCAAGAGCAGAGATAATTCTGATCTGGAAGATCCCACAGCATTTGGGTTTTTGAATGAAAATGAAACAGTTGCTTATAAGTTTCTAAGTTTGTTTTGTTTTTAAATATGGATGTCACAGATCCATCATACTGAAAAGGCATCTGTGTCCCAACCTGAAGACCTTTCTGAAGAAGCTGAAGAATCACAGTGCTGTAGTTTTAAACTCTTTGCTGAAGAGGAAGGCTATGAAGCGGATAGTGAAAGTAATCCTGATGACAGTGAAAGCAAGGATGAAGGTAAATGCAAACTTTGCACAGGCATCAGGCAAAACCATCTTTAACTGTTTTATAGTCTAGCTTTTACCATGTGATTTATGTGAAGTATTGGACTTTTTCCCAACATGCAAAAGTAGACTAGATTGCAGAGGCCATAACATTTTCAGTGTAGATTATTTTTGTAGTATGAAACAACTTCATTGCAGGGGAGAGTAACAGTTCACATCTATTTTATCTAAATGTTATGGGGAAACGTTTTACGCATTGAGTTTTGGCTTCTATCAGATTGCTCTGAACTACTGTTGAGTCATTCTCACTGAAGTGTGTTATTGATTGTGGTCTAAAAGCAGTTTCTTCTCCAGATAGGATCATAAGTAAGTAGTGGTTTTTTTTTATTACTCTATGCTCAATTTTTTTACAAGGTTATCTTCCTTGTAAAATATTTCCTAGTCTGATCTTAATCTTTGTGTGTGCGTGTGTACATACACACCCCCTACCTCTGATATAACGCTGTCATCGGGAGCCAAAAAATCTTAAATAAATAGGATATCTCTATTAATTTATTTTATCTCCTAGAGCTGGAAGGGACCTTGAAAGGTCATCGAGTCCAGCCCCCTGCCTTCACTAGCAGGACCAAGTACTGATTTTGCCCCAGATCCCTAAGTGGCCCCCTCAAGGATTGAACTCACAACCCTGGGTTTAGCAGGCCAATGCTCAAACCACTGAGCTAGGTGAAACTGCGTTATATTGAACTTGCTTTGATCCACTGGAGTGCACCCCCCTCCCCCCCGAGCACTGCTTTACCATGTTATAGCTGAATTCGTGTTATATCGGGTCGCGTTATATCGGGGTAGAGGTAGGTAGGGGTGTGTGTGTGTGTGTGTGTGTGTGTATATATATATAAAATACTAATTTTTCTAATAACCTACACATCCATTGTTCGTTTTTGTTACAAAAATGATTTTTCAAATTAAGCCTACAATGTAAATATTTGCTTTTGTATAACAATTTGATCTAAAGTATGCATTAATTATAATTGAGTTGGAGTTGTAATTTCAATAAGGTCTGTCAGTGGTTCTGTGTATATTGTAAATCTGTGTGGCAGAAATATTAGACTAGGGTTGCCAACTTACTAATTGCACAGAACCGAACACCCTAGCCTCACCCCTTCCCCGAGGCCAAGGCCCCGCCCCCGCTCACTACATTTCCCCCTCCCTCGGTGGCTTGCTCTGCCCCACCCTCACTCACTTTCACTGGGCTGGGGAAGGGGGTTGGGGTGCAGGAGGAGGCAAGAGTTCTAACTGGGGGTACTGGTGCCTGGGTAGGGCCAGAAATGAAGGGTTCAGGATGCCAGAGGGGGCTCCAGGCTGGGGCAGGAAGTTGGGGTGCAGGAGGGGGTACGGGCTCTGGTCTGGGGGTGCAGGCTCTGGAGCCGGGGATGAGGACTTTGGGGTGCAAGAGGGGGCTCTGGGTTTGGGGGGGGCTCAGGGCTGGGGCAGGGGGTTGGGGCTCAGGGTTGGGGCACGGGCTTACCTCAGGCAGCTTCCAGTCAGCAGCACAACGGGGCTAAGACAGGCTCCCTCCCTGTCCTGGCTCCATGCTGTGCCCCAGAAGCAGCCAGCAGATCCGTTTCCTAGGCGGGGAGGCCAGGAGGCTCCACACGCTGCTCTCGCCCGCAGGCACTGCCCCCCAGCTCCCATTAGCTGTGATTCCCGGCCAATGGGAGTGCGGAGCCAGTGCTAGGGGCTTGGGCAGTGTGTGGAGCCCCATGGCCCCTCCCACCTAGGAGCTGGACCTGCTGGCCACTTCGGGGGCACAGCATGGTGCCAGGGCAGGTAGGCACTAGCCTGCCTTACACCCGCAGCACCGCCGACTGGACTTT